GACCATTTTTTAAAGGTTGGGGGGTACTTTGAGACGTTTTAAAACCCGGGTGGTAATCTGAGACAAGTTTCAAAGCACAGGAGGCATGTAGCTAAATAAGCCTAAAATAAATGACATGTGTGATTATATTATTGAATCACGTAAAGTGTTTAGGATTGTTTAAAATCATTGGTTCTGTTGGCTGTGCAAATCTCACGCCCTGGTGCTCCGGGCCGAGGGGAGATGCGCCAACACGTGACGTCCTTCTTTTGGATGCGGTGCGGTTGTGCGCGGGCGTGCCAGCACGGTCTACCGTGCATCGAGAGAGTGATGTGTGTTGGATAAGATGGTTAAGTGGTTAAGTGGTGCGCATGTTTGAGTTTGACTTCTAATCAAACGATGAAAATCTGCATGGTGGAGCCTGATCAGAGCAAGTGGGTAGTCCAATCGACATTTGGGATCGTGAAGCATGGTGGTGTGACCCCATAAATCCCGGTAAATCTCGACCACCACCCTGATCGTGGGTTCTGCGCCCCTGGCCTTGGGAACGCATTTAATGCCCTGGTCTGGTGGTTGGTGATCTGACCTTAAGTTGTAAGAATATTTATAAGAATGTTTGCGCATAACCACTCTGATTTCCATCACCAAATCCTGACTTTAGTCACTTCCCTTATTCTCTCGTGCATTAAATGCCTTTTTGCGGCTAGTGGGTTTGCTAGTCAGAGGCGTTACTTCATTAAATGAAGTGTGGGACTCTGTTGCCACTTGACGATTTAACTTTAATATCTTCGGCCGTGTCTCTTACGTCCTTCGACCTCGACCTGTAATACCGCGGTCGCGAGGCCGAGATGATTATGCCTTCGCAGCTTTCCTTTTGTGTTAAGAAGGCAAATGCCTAACGAACCGCCACGTCTCAGTTCATGGGCCGGTGCTAGGGCCAAGGGAGGTCATTTCGGCCAGTTTACGGCCGAAATTTATTAGGCACAAACAGGTTCATGAATAAATGTTTATTTTAGTAACAATTTCAACTTTTAAGTAGGAATTTAGATTCAAATATCATTTATTATATGTAAATTTGCTTATATGTGAATTAGGCTAAGTGATCAAGGTCGTGTACTTGGCTAGCTCCTTGCGGTTGAGTTCAATATGCCTCCCTCGAATCCTAGAGTAATTAAAATATTTCTCTGTTAAAAAAAAAAAAAAAAGAGTATATATACATAAAATTACTTCATGTATTCGTGCTTCATATGTTTTCATTAATTGATTAAGGTTTGTGTTTTTCTTAATTGATTAGGATTTTGTGTTTTAATTAGTTGATTATGAATGAAAGTGCTATCGTTTAATTTTTCAATGTTATTTAATTCTAAAAAGAATTTCAGAACTTTTATATTATGACTCCATACTGTAAGAATTCTGAATCCGCTACCTATTTCTTCACTTTTTCATTGTGGTGCGGCCTGATGTATAACGCTCGTATTTAAAATAATAATAATTAATGGGTTATGAGTGATAAGAAACCATAAAAAAATTTGAGAGCAACCACGGGCTCAACCACCTACACCATACTTTTGGGTCGAGCAGCCCACCTGTCAATGCACTTTCTCTTTAATAAAGAAAAAAAAAAGTTATAAAAAAGAAAAGAAAAAAGTTATAAAAAAAAGAAAAAAATACAAAAAGAAAGAAAAAGGCAAAAGAGAGAGGAAAACTTCAGGGAGTGCCAGACTCCTGATTTCCACCGAGTAGGTGCAAGAGAGACAATCTCGATAGCTTTCATCAATGGCGGGCGTATCTCTGAAGTGCGGGGACTGCGGGGCTCTCCTGAAGTCCGTGGAGGAAGCCCAAGAGCATGCCGAGCTTACCTTCCACTCCAACTTCTCTGAGTCAACCGAAGCTGTTCTCAACCTCGTCTGTTCTTCTTGCGGCAAACCATGCCGATCCAAAACCGTATAGTCCCTACTCTTTCTTTTTCTCTTGAAATTCAATTGTTTTTGTCTTTACTCTGAATTTGCTCATCTGGGTCAGTAGGATTTCAGTTTAATTTTCATATACGTTAGTTGGAATTCAGTATCTTTGTTTCTTAGTAAATTTTGAAACTTTTGGTTGTTCTGTTTTCCATTATTTTCAACTATACTGAACTTAATGACCAGCAATGTTTTTTAAATTTATCGAAGGTACTTAGGTGTGTATCCAAAACGGGGTTGATCCTCACATTATCTATTATATACTGTCATATTGAAAATTTTGGTCTCCTTATTAGATTGCTTTTCTGGGTTGTTGATTCAAATTCAGTTTCATGTGGATTCAATTAAAGAATTTTTGATTATTCGAGCTCAGAGAGTGAGGAATGTGGTAGCAAGCTGAGCTCAATGAGTAATTATCGCATGTGTTTGTATTTAGAAGATTGAAGATTAGACTATTGTTTTCTTGGCAATAGAGCAAACTCGTTTTGATGATTTTTTGGTGCTTGGATATGTTTGATCATAAAGGAAAGTGATTTGCATACCAAAAGAACGGGGCATACTGAGTTTGTTGATAAGACTGCGGATACAGTAAAGCCGATAAGTTTGGAGGTTCCAAAGGTGACAGCTTCAGAGTCCGAAGACGCTGTTGGTGCAAGTAGCCAGGCAGAAGGTACTTCTTCCGGTTGAGTGTTTTGTATATCTTGAGGTTGTGTTCAGTGAAAGCATGAAATTTGATCTTATGTATTTGGAAAGCTTTTTAGTGAGAATAGGTTGGATTTGTACAGTTTTTGGGTAGATGATATATTCTGTATGAATTTACCAAATCTGTGCAACAATATGATGCATAACTAGAGTTTATGTTGTTTGGATGTTTGATCCTGGTGCACTTCTTCCTTTCTTTGTGCCTTTTTTTTTTTTGCATGCCTTCCTGCTGTTGGAAATCAGTTTTATTTGAAGGGCTTTGGTTTTTTTTGGAGCGTTAATTTTGTACCTCTGTGTATCCATGTTCTATTCAAATTAAGTCTGAATATATACTATGATAGCTTTAGAGATATGCATAATTCTTCCCCCAATGCATGGATTTGCACAGAAGTGCATAAAGTAATATGACTACATAGACTTGTTCTCATTGTTGTTTTGTTAATGGTCTTTATTCCTATAAACAAAGATTAATAGTCTTTCTTAGAACTTCTTCACTAAGAAGGCTGTCGGCAGTCAGTGCTTCTGCTTGTTCAGGTCTAGATTAGAAATCATGGTTGTAGATGAACATGGAAGATGCACTTTAACTTTTCAAATTAATTCCGAAGTCAGGCTCTACAACCTGTTTATTTGTGATAGGAAACATACTGCCATTGGCTGGTTTTTTCTTTATGGTTAGTCATTTCTGTTACTCTTGTTTATTGACTTGATGATTACCTGATCAATGTTTCTTCATCTAGAAATGGTTGTTCCAGAGGTTGACAAAAAGCTGCTTGAGGAACTCGAAGGAATGGGATTCTCAACAGCGCGGGCAACCCGTGCACTTCACTATTCTGGTGAGCTCATGAAAAAAAAAAATTGTATATTTATTAAATGATATTGAAGCTTCTTACATTTGGCTTGCTTTTAGTGGTTTCGTTTATGTTTTACCCCATCTTTTGTTCCCATCAGAAAAATGATGGATGCTAATAATTATTAGGAGACTTGTGATATCTATTAGTTGAAATACTGCATGATTAGGACCCAGGTTCATTTGTTTATAGTTTCGGGGCCTGTTCTTCTTGTAGATACCATTTGAGATAGAGCCTAGAAACAGCCTGCACAGTGGAAAGCATTAGAAGAACTAGAATTCATAAAAGTTGAGCGAGTGCATACCCTGCTGTGCTTATTAAATTTATTGGATTTCACAGCTTATGAAATTCTTAGGATTCAGCTATTTCTGCTAAAACCAGTGAGCTCTGTTCTATATTTAATGGTTTCTAGGGTTGTAAGCTTGTGAATTTTTTCATTTTGAAACCGTTCCACATAATTGAAAATTTGCGACCTGACAATATTAATTCTCTCAGCTCATAATATCTTTTTTTTTCCCAGGTAATGCTAGCCTGGAGGCTGCAGTCAATTGGGTGGTTGAACATGAGAATGATCCAGACATAGATCAAATGCCTTCAGTATGATACCTTCATTTTGATCCTTGATATGAATCATGTGCATCTTCTCCTCTCTCTCTCTCTCTCTCTCACACACACACACACACACACACACACACATACTCACTCACTCACTCACTTAATGCAAACACTTTGCGGCAGAAATGGTTGGGGAAGAAAAGGTTGGATAGACTGGTTATGCACTTGCATATCTATTGTATGATGATATTAATGATATACTACTGATTGAGAAAATATCACTCACTCACACACTCAATGCAAACACTTTGCGGCAGAAAAGGTAGGATAGACTGGTTATGTACTTGCATATCTATTCTATGATGATATTAATGATATACTACTGGTTGAGAAAGTATCTTCCAAAAAATGTATCTCGATTAGGGAAGATAGGAGGAGGTTTGACATCCTAGTGATGACTATTAGTTTTTATAAATTTATCTATTGGAAACTGAACAATTTTTTTTAGTGGATGATTTTCGTGTTGGAAATTTCTAGGGCATTATTTTTCTTTAAGAAAAGTCCATGACTTTTTTTTGTTTGTTTTTGATTTGTTTATATAATGGTAAATCTTACTAATGCAACTTTTATTTGCCTTATTCCAAAAATAAAAAGAGACCAGACTCCTTGACAATTAGCGGCTACCGCCCTATAAGTTTGCTCTCAAGATTATACAAAGTGCATGCTAAAGTGTTGGCCTTGAAATTGAGAGAGGTTTCTTAAGTAGTCTATCAGTGGTGCGAAGCAGCTTTGCCCCCTTTCAGTAGGAGGGGTGAAAGGTTAGACCTTAGAAAGTCAGCAAACAGCGGTTTGGGAAATAACTTCTCAATCCCAAGGTGCTTTAGTGAATGAGAGGCAAAGTTTAGACATACTTTTGGCTGGTTATGAGATTGTGCAGGGCTGGATATAGAAAGATGGGGAAGGAGGAAGGGTTGGTTATTAAGGTTGACTTTAAGAAGGCTTATGATTGAGGTGATTAGGGATTCCTAAACTCGATGATGGAGGTTAGAGGTTTTGGTGAGAGATTGTTCTTAGGGACAGTTTGTGTTTGTTAAACTTAAGACTTATGATTTTGCTTGACAAATGTCTTCTCAGTTACTGAGTTTCAGAATTTGGTGAATAGTTTAGCTTTTTATTGTTTGTTGTTTCTTTAGAAAGAGATAAAGAGAGAGAACCTCAGAAATATGTAAAACTTGCCTGCTTATTTGTGCTCAGGTACCAGTCAACACCAAAGTTGAGGCTCCAAAACCTTCTCTCACGCCAGAGCAATTGAAAGCCAAGCAACAAGAGCTTAGGTAGTGCTTTTTATTCATTCTTAGTGTCACTGATTAGATCATCTTGATCATACCAAAAAAAATGAGATAATCTTGATATCAAAGTTATTGCAGATTCTAGTTTCTGCTTGTCATAATAAATCTCATTCTTTTTCTTGGATGCTGTAGCTCCTAATTTTGTTTGTTGAAGCTGATAGGTATTAGCATGTGTAAGGTTTAGAATTTTAGATTGAAGCTCCCTTTTCCTCCTTTCATTTATAACTGAGAGCAAACTA